GGATGATACTTTATATTGAAGGGATAGGATGTGGTGAGATAAGTGGGGTACAACATGCAGGGCATGCACACATATCTTTTAGAGTACCAGTATCTATTATGATTTATACACTTCTGCATGTGGTTGCACAACTCAAAAAGTTACCAGACAAAAAAGACAGGTAACATTTTTTTTCTGTTTTGTGTACAAATTTATTTTCTTTTCACTGTGTACACATACATATTCATAACATAACAATAAAAAAATAACAAAACAGTATTGTATTTCAAGTTAACAAAATTCCATGAATACAACATATGAACCATACCCTATTTCTCTGTTCAAAACTGATAAACCTGCAGTATTAGAAGGTTTATACTCCTTGCATCCTTACATCTGGTTGATCATTCAAGCTAATAAGACACCAAAGTTTCCACTGTAGACCTTCTTTGCCACATCTTATTTGAAATAGTACTACTCTTTATTGATCCTTCAATCAATCTGCACCTTGTGAAAGCACCGAGTAAATAAATAAAAATAAAAACAATTTATAAACATTGATTTTATGATGCATATCCCCACTCAACAGCAAGTTTTATGCGCTTTACAATCAATATCAGGGATGGAAACTGATCAGTCCAAAATTTACTGAACTTTTCGCGGGCTATACAGATTTGGAAAAACACACTTATTCAATAAATGATTGTAGACCAGTCCCACTTACAGTACAGAAAATGACGGAGTAAATCAAAATTACGGATTTCACTAAATTTACGGACAATTTCCATCCTTGCAATATTATTACCCTGGCAGACCCTCCACACTCAGAAACATTCTTGCCTTTCCAGGAAGCATACAGTGCAAGCAGCTGATTAAACATTATACCATTAATAAGCTGACAAGACCTTTCGCTGTCTATAGCCTGGGTAAAGTGAAGAAAATTCGTGCACAGTTCCTTTCCGATGGACAAACCATCAGGTCCCTGAAGGGGTCCGAACTCATGACCTATCGGTTGAGTCCCAAAGCCTAAGAAATAGACTGTCCCCGTCGTTTTATGCACCCCGTATAATTTAGCAAAATTTGATCATTTTTTGCATAATTTCTGATAATTTTCCTTTATCATTCTTTGTTAAAATTAACAGAATCGAATAATTTCACATTTTTGGGCCGTTTGCATAATTTCAGAATTTTTCTTGCATAAAACGACGGGGACGGAATAGATCACTCACAACATGTAATAACAATGTCACCAGTAAGGAAGCTACTGTTGATAAGTGAAGGCACAACTCATGGAGACTTGCGGAATGTAATAGTAAAAAAATGACGGTAGCGTGTTCAACTTCTCAGCTCTGTGTGAGCAGTTTTAAGCAGGTGTGCGTCAGTAGTGTGTACTACTACTAGTGTCAGTATTGTGTACTAATGTATCAGTAGTTTGTACTACTAGTGTGTCAGTAGTGTGTACACGTGTGTCAGTAGTGAGTACTTCTAGTGTGTAAGTAGTGTGTACTACTAGTGTGTCAGTGGTGTGTACAAGTGTGTCAGTAGTGTGTACTACTCGTGTGTCAGTAGTTTGTACTACTAGTGTGTCAGTAGTGTGTACACGTGTGTCAGTAGTGGTGAGTACTAGTGTGTCAGTAGTTTGTACTACTAGTGTGTCAGTGGTGTGTAGGCCTCATCATCATCATCAATGCTTTCACCCATGGCAGGGTATAGGCCACATACAAGCTCCTTCCATTTATCTCTGTCCTGGGCCATCCTTCGAAGCTCGTTCCAAGTGAGCTTCATCTCTCTCAAGTCCCTTTCCTCGCATCTCCTCCATGTTTCCCGTGGCCTACCCCTGCCTCACGCTCCCTGTGGGTTCCATTGTAGTGACTGTCTTGTGATGTTTCCGCTGGGCGTGTCCCATCCATAGACACTTTCTTAGTCCTGTTTCTACTTCTATTTCCTTTTGTCCTGTCCTTTCTCACAGTTCTTCATTTCTTATTCTATCCTGCCACTTAATTTTTAGAATACTCCTCATACATCTGTTGATGAAAGTCTGGACTTTATTCAGTACTGTCTTTGTTGTCTTCCAAGTTTTGCATCCGTAGAGGAGCACAGACTTGACGTTGGAGTGGAGTTAAAGAGTCGAATCTTGGTGCGCAGTGAGATGTTGCTTGCTTTCCAGACTTTTGATAATTGATTGAACGCTGACCTTTCCTTGGCGGTTCTTGCTTTAACATCTGCCTCGGTTCCACCTTTACCATCGATGACACTTCCAAGGTAAGTAAAGGAGCCCACTTCTTCCAGGAGAGTGTCTTCCACTGTCACAGCAGGGCTTGAAGCTTTTCCTAGCTTCACTACATTCAACTTTCTTGGATGTATGTGTAGGCCTACTAGTGCGTTAATAGTTTACACAGTGTCTCAGCTCTATATGAGCAGCTGAGTATAATAATATAAGAACATGAGTTCGAACCCCAGCATTCTGAAACAATCTCAACTTTCTGGGAAGCGAACATTTTCATAGCCCCTTAAACACTAACACACTGACCAAATCTTTTGCTGTCTATGATCGGGTGCCCATTCACACCTGGGTGAAGTGAGGAGAATTTGCGTAAAAAACTGCCTTTCCCAAGGACACAACCTGGGTCCCCAGGCTCAAAGTCCAGTTATGAGTCCAGAAGCCTAATAGCCTAATCACTAGACAACCGCCGCAACACAAGTAGTGTGTAACGTGTCAGCTCTGAGTAAGTAGCTGCGTGCCCTTCTGCACGATGTGCTCTTTCAGCCTCTCTGTGTGTCCGGCCTGCAGGTTCTGGCAGACAAAAGGCAGCAGGAAGAACAGGTTCCCGTCCTCTGGCAGAAGCAACACAAACTGGGCAGGGGGGAACATCTCTGCCAGCTTGGCTAGCAGGTCTGAGGGGAGAAAAAGGTTTCATTTTGTTTTGTTTTATTTTATTTTGGTAAAGACAAGCACTTTGATAATATGATAACCATTCGAGCACTTCTTTGTGGAAATGCGCTATATAAATGCAATTTATTATTATTATTATTTCGACTGCTTTGAGTAAGATTTCGCCATACACCATGTTATTTGGAAAGTGACATATAAAAGTAACAGAATTCTACACTAAGCAGTCGATTCACAGTTCGAGAAACAGTAAGATACAGCAGAAGCCACAAGTTATCTTAATCCTTATTTCTTCAACTTTGCTTAACTGATTCAGCCCGCAAATAATTTGAAACCGCTTCGTGACCTCACGGGTGGTCTCACAAAAAGTTAACAAGGAAATATCTAAATTTGATAAAACACTATGTGTGGCATATAGAAATGTTCAGAATAAAAAACACCATTCAATAACATCGGAAAAAAGGGTTGAAATGTAAGTGATACCGTAAGGAAAACAGAAAGAGAGGAAATGATGTGAAGAAAGGGAGCAATTTATAAAACACAGGAGACAATCAGCCGCTGTGAGCGGTACTGCAGGCTGAATAAGTTAAAGAATATTCACCTCTGCCGGTGCATTGACCATCGCCAAACACTTGACGAAAGAACTACGTTATAAAGGTTGGAAAAAATGGGGAAAAGTAAGACAAACAGAAAGAAAGAAATTAAGTAAAGAATAACAGTAGGACCTACGAGTGGAGTGCCCAACCACACACAAGAAGAAATACATAGCTTGGTTAGCTATAAGGAAGTATACATATATACAGACATAATATGTTATTTAGTACTGGGAATAGCACGACTAAAAGATACTACAGAGGGAAAGCAGAGATGTTGGAGAACCACTTATATTATTGGAAAAAGTGAGTGTACTAAAACATGTTAATGTTTGTGTATGTGTTTATTACAGAGGCAGAGAGAGAAAAAGAGAGGGAGGAGAGAGAAAGAAAGGGAGCTGGAGAGAGAGAGAGAAAGAGAGCGAGAGAGGGGGAGAGAGAGAGAGGGAGAGATAGAGCTGGAGGGAGAAAGAGAGAGAGAGAGAGAGAAAGAGAGAGAGAGAGACAAAGAGAGAGAGAGAGACAAAGAGAGAGAGAGAGAGAAAGAGAGAGCATTTACACAAATGAGTTACCTTTATAAGCCTTCACGTAGGCCTCACCAGTCTGACCCGAGTGAGAATAGCCGCGGAGTTTGATTTCTGCCTCTAGGCAACGCAGCAAGTGAGAATACTGTGAAAAACATATCACATTATTTCTGTGAGCAAAGAGCTAAAGCTGCATAAAGGGAGAAAGAAAAGTACATTATAGAACCAACTAATGATATATCATTACTACAATTTTCAGGAGTCTTTAAGCAACTGACAGCACAATATCAAATCCATATCAAATTGAGAAATACTATAAATAATATCAAAACCAAAAAAAGGTAACATCCATTTAGAAAGAAAAATGCAAAGATAAAAAAAAAAGAAAACCGAACCACATTGAATATATGGATGTGAAGTATGGACCATCAATGAACAATGTTAAATATAGAAAAACTCGGAAGAATATTGCGGAGACAGAAAATGAAGAATGAAGTGCTAGGAAAATAGGTGTAGAAACATCAACACTCTTCCTGTGTGTAATGAAACTGAAACTGAACTACTCTCGGCATATTAAACACCATGATCCACTCAAGAAACACAATTTGGAAGCAAAGGTAGAAGGCACGAGAGGAAGGGAGGCACAAAACCCAACGTTATATTACTGCCTTTGGAACATATTATGTTCAATGCTTGTACATGCAATATACATGTATTATGTTCCTGTCTTTGTATTGTGGAATGTTTATGTCTTTGTAAAATGGCATGTTTAGGGCTTTGTATCCTGTTACGTTTCCGTTTGTGTTACGTGTAACGTTTAGGGGGTTTGGAACATTCTATGTTTAAAGCTTTATAACATGTAGCGCTAAGCGCTTTGTAACTTATTGTTTAAATCTGTGTAACATGCATTGCTTAGAGATTTGCAAACAAAGAAGCTCCTCGAATCCAGACAACATTTTCTTCACGCTGGACTTACCCTATCAAAATCGCCATGAAAGCAACAGGAAGCAAAGTTGGCCAGCACACCCGGGAATTTCTCCACCACGGTCTCCGTGGCAACGGCCAGGTCCAGTTTGGCCCCACACAGCAGCTGGATGCTGTCCCAACAGACCGACTGACCACCACCACCAGCAGCGGCCGAGCTGTGACCTGAGGTCAAGGACGCGTTCTCGGGGCTCGTGTTAGTGTCGGCGTCGATGAGGGAGAGAACCAGTGAGGCTAGGTCTGGGGAGAGGCGAGGCCAGCACAGCAGGGACTGTGGAGGGGGGG